CGCGGAACCCCTAGTCCAGCTTTATTCAGGTTTGACATGCAGGACAGGCTAAACAGAGGATTGGCACTGATGCCGGTAGACCGACCAACGGGGAACAACTTCCAGCCTGAATAACCACAGGAAGGCCACTCAAGCTGTGTGACTATAGTAAAAGCCGTTTGTCAAGTTTATATCTGAAATGTATCTACCGTTGGCTTCACCGGCCTGATCTGTAGCGACTATTCAGGGGCACCCAACGTCAATCTTCGGAAAATATCTGTTCGGAAGACGATTTCAGATCTAGAATTTTTGGAAAATTTCTTGGAAAATTTCTTGGTTGCCTGCCTCTGTTAGGATTTTCGAACATCAAAAAAATGGTATAATTGCCCATTTTTAATGGATTTTTACCCTAAAATTTAAAGGTCACCTAGAATTTTCAGGAGCCTTTTTTCTGGCTGAAATTTTCGAAAAAGGTCAGTTTTGATCCAAATAATTTTCCGATCACTAGACTTTCAGCTAGGAAATCCGAACAGAGGAAAAATTTTTAAGGGATAAAAATATGCCTATATCTACCGTTTAAATACTAAAATACGTTTAACAAAGCTATGTTTAAGTGGTTTTGAACTATTTTCTCGTTGGGTGCCCCTGACTATTTATAATGCTACCTCAGTTCGCACTGTACTATTAAAATTAGAAACGATCATCACAAACAGAATATGTGGGTCTCCTATAGAATTAGTGAAAGGGCAGGATCGGGAAAGTCCAGGACTTAACTGAAAGGGGAAAAGTGGAACAGCTTAGTTTGGCAGAACACTAACGTAAAGCAGGTGTCGTTGAATGACTAGAGTGATTTTACTAATAACCCGTGAAACAGATACTAAAAATTAGGGCAAAATAGCTACAAGTAAACAAAAGGAGACAATGGAATTAGTGCATAATACCTCGCAGTATTCTACTCCAGTCCTATTACGCAGGTTAAGTGAAATCACTCTACAATGGCTGAAACTCCATAATTTCAGGAGAACGTAGAGACAAAGCAACGCTTTTCATTTTCTTTTTCTTAGCCGATGATATAGATACAGTCCTTTAGAATTTAATCCAGAAAAAAACTGCAACATTCAACAGGTTAATTAGATGGAATAAGGGCGATAAATTTTGAAACTGCGCATTGCTTTGTACTACCCCTTGTATGTTGTTGTATACGGACGAGGATAACAAGCTGCGGCTCGTCCTCAGGGTAAACTGCGAGCAGTCTCTTATTTTTCTTTGCAAAGTTACTGCACGCGGAACCTAAACACGCGAGTGGCAAAGCCAATAATTACGTCGTGGTTTGCAATCGCGCTGATGAGATAAGAACTAGACGGATTTTAAGAGAAAAGGCGGACTGAAAGCAGTCAATCCCCAGGGCTTTTCCGCTTAAAAGCCTTGGGGACCTGGGGCCCGTTTCTCGAAAGTCCTGATAATTAACGGGCCCGTAAAGCTGTTGTTGTTTACATGCAAGATATCAGGTTTCAATAGTTTTGCATCTAACATGATAGATGCAATATTTCGATCTACATTTGGATTTGAATATTTGATTTTGGGCCCGAAAAGGTACCGGGTCTTTCGAGAAACGTGCCCCTGGTTGGCTCGTCTTCCGCCGGAGATCTCGCGGATAATTCAATATCAGGACTGGAGTCTTCCACTGTGGGAGAACCTAGTTCAGCATCATTGAGGCCTCTGTTTTTGACATGAAGGGCCCCTTAATATTTTTATTCACCTCAATTTTAAAATACAATACCGTCAACTAAGCCCCGGGCGGGGCCTCCTGACTATGGCTCCTTCCCTGGGTTTATACATCTTTCTTGGGGTTTTAGGAAGGCTTATATATATACGGAGGGGCTTATATCCGAGGGGGCTTTTTAAAGGCAGTAAACAGTATTACATTTCGGGCGGTGATTTTAATAGATGCCCCACTCCCAATTCCCCTCGGAATGTGCCTTATCAAAAAAATGCGGAAAAACTGAACAAGAGAGTGTTCGAGTAAATACGTTAATGATTGTTTTCATAAGTGTTTGATGTAAGCAGCCATTCCGGCTGTTTTCCTTGAGGCAGTTTAATTACTGTATTTGTGATAGCTAGGCATAAGCCGTGTCGATTCTCGCTACAGAGATATCAACACCGTACGGCGGGTAACAACGCAAATGATCTATTCTTGATGTTGTCTATTGCAAACAACTAAGGTATGTAGGATTGCAGACGACTAGTTAATTATATCAAGTCATAGTTTTAATTTTTTTAGATCAGAACATGCAGAGTTGCATGGTGACAGTCACGATCGCGATAATGAACAGAATGATTTTACAACTTGTTGTATTCCATAATTGCAACGATATTGGTTACTGAAAAGCTTAAGTCCTGGCAGTACGTAACCACTGGCTATCCTCCCTACCTGAAAAAGAACTAGCTACTACCATAATTGCCCACTTAATGTCCATGAGGTGAATATTATATTGATTCCGAAGGGAACATTAAGGCTTTTTATTAACTGACTTGTTGTCTACGCAAGAGTCTAGATCTGTATCTGGTAAGTAGAAATATGTATTTAGAGGCTGCTGCGTTGAAACCGTACTTGTGTGTCGCTTAGCTTCACACATCTTTAGTTCAGAAGTCCTACTATAACCAACTCGATGGACATTATCAAAAGCAATTCCTTCACATAATAAACTTTTTTAATGTTTGTGTTTGACGAGGCGGTGAAAACCCTTGTGTTAAACCGGGACAAAAGAAGCACCAGGTTGGAATTTCATGAGAGTTAAATACAGATGAAACGGAAAACGTTTATTCATTCTCTTGCTTCAGGTTCTAGTTATTTCAAATTCTATCAATTATTGCCATTTTTTCTTTTACGCTTCAGTTCTGACGACTTTTTTTTTTAACCAGCTCTCATTAATTTGAATACGACTCAGCCGGAAAACTATTCCAAGCCAGGGCCAATTGCAGCTCGTCCTCGACAAACGTCCGACGCAAAACTTTACAAACCACTACCCTGCTGCTTTATAGACTGCGAATTTTTGGATTTATATGTGTGACTATTGAACCTCTGTAGTGTTGATGTTAAATCTTAATGTTTAGTTAAAACCGCGGTGATCGAGGGACTAAATTATAGTGCCGGAAACATGCATGCCGATTTTGGTGACCGAGCGGTAAACACTGTCAAACTTCATATAATATTCCAGCCTTGCTGTCGCGTTGTTTTATTTATAGGATTAAATTAGCTGCAAAAACATCTGCAGTAACATCTGTAAACCTGAAGAAGGCTGGTATGGCCAGCCGAAATATTGTTATAAAAAACAATATACGTTGTTTTAAATCGGCTTTGCAGTAGTCTTTGGACTTCTTGTTCTTGTTTTTTTATTTATAGAGCAGAAATTTAACTCTGGTTTGTCTCTCTTCACCCAGATGCAATAAAAAAGTTACCACCAACATACTGAGAGTACTTAAAATTCTCAGAAGCTTACTAAGCATAAGAGGTGAAACAAACCAGAGTTATAACGTTTAAAGTTGAAACAACAGGTTCAATGCAGTGGCGGAACCAGGGGAGGGGCCCGCAGGGCCCAGCCCCCCCCCCCTTATTTTTAGA